CACGCCACCTATGCAGTGCAGGTCTCCTATCCTGCGCTTCGCAAGGCACTTTCCACGCTCTCTGCGACTACATTATACAGAAAGACGCCAAGCAGATGCTTGCTCTAGAGCATCCTTCACGAAAACAATCGAATTGGCATAGACGTATAAGCTATATGCTGGAAACGTCTACAGAGATATCCAGCTTTATAAACATTCAAAATTGAGTTCCTATTTAAATTACATTTTCTGTAGCACCCGCAAAAATGACCCGAACAATACACAGCGCCAGTCTGCCTCCTCTGCAACAAACTACAATGGTACTTACAAAAAGTTTGATATAGCTTACAGTCCACCATAACAGTCAGCGGAACTCTCTTTAGTATTTCGGTATAATAATTTCTGTTAGCCCTACCTGTAAGGCCATCACAAAAAAGTAGTAGCTCGCTTGAACGCAGATAGTGACGAAAGAAAGCATGAAGCGTTCCTTGCGCTAGACGGTACATAATTGAGGGTTGCCTTTGCCATGCTCGAATATGAATTGATCCTGCCACTAAAGTAAACAAAATATGCATACTTCGAACGAAGCGTGAAGTTCGGACGCATCCAAAACCAATTATTAATGCATTAGAGCAGGCTGGACGCAGGTGGCTGAGCTGCAAAGCATACTGTTACCACTTGAAAATAACTTGATATCAGCGTTTCTTCAACGCCACTCGTTTCCAAGAAAAAAGTAATAAAACATCAATCTTTAGATAGTGAATGGTTAGTAGCAAGCGGTAAAATAAACACAACTATGTTGGTAATCACGTTTAAAACGGTTTATTTGGTTTGTGTAAATTTGGCAGTGTTCACAGATTGAAACGCGAAATCAAAAGTTGTGGTATAACGACTGTGATGCGTGGTTCCTCAATATTTCCGAGTCATATGACGTCGAATCTGGATGCTATAGTTAATTTTGGTTATGGCATAAGTGTTCATGTCGAAAAGCTGACTTGAGGTGAACTTATCATGGTGCAAACAAAAACTACACCCGTTTCTTAGCTCTGAATTGTGGCACGCCATTCGTGCACCCCGCACATAATCCTTTCTTATTTTACTCCGAAGGTGCAGTGACTCAATTGGGCAAGTGGGAAAGCGGAGAAAATCTATTTTTCAGCCGGCGAAAGCGGCCGTATCACGAGGATTTTTAGAGGCGAAACTTCTTAGGATCATAGGTGGGTCGGCGTGCATCGTCGTCTACTGCTGTCTTGACGGTTCATTTGCTTGAGCAAAAGGAAGGGCACCACTCTCTTAGCACTCACCGTCTGGCGAAAAAGATCGAACGGCCCGTGTTGACTATAAAAACTCTACCAGCTGGTAAGGCACGAGAACGCGCCCTCGCCCGCAGGCAACAACGCCAACGCAGAAAGCATCTGCCAGCGAGTTTCTCGGTTGAAAATACACGGCATATCCACGAATTGAATGATGATAAGCGGGCGAAGCAGTGGGATCGTTCGGGGTTACCATAAATAACCCGCGACATTGACCCCTCACGTATGTAAATGAGTGACAAAGTAATTTACTAATGAGAACTAACACACTATAATGTCAGGGAATGTATAGGGGCCGTAATTAGAAGTAGTATTTGTGTATGTGTCAAAAAAAGAAAGTGGACAAAAAATGACTTGCCATCGGCAGGAACCAAACCCGCAACCTTCGAATAAGGCGTCGGATTCTCTATCACTGAGCCGCGGTTGCGGTCATCCTTCCATTCACTTTATAAGGTATATAAGTGCATGCGGCGTACAGTTATATGCAAGGTTTAGAGGTCACAAGGGTATGCTGTGTTGTGAATTTCGATGGGACCTCATTAATACTGCTTTGTGGTATTAGATTCAGCCTGAACTTGGCAAAAAAAAGGTCTCTGCACGTTACCCTGGTGGTTGTTGGTTGTTTGCAGTCATACAAAATGCTTCGGAGAAACTATTGAGATGTCATATACTGCACAAGCCAGTCACTGACAGGAATCATTATCGTCATGGTCATCATGATTAAGGCTACGGCGCACGCCAACGCCGCCGACGGACAAGCCCCTAAAAACCCACTGCTGGCGCTGCACCAACGCTCACTTGCCACCCCATATAATAGGCACTGTATCTTGACCTGCAATGAATTGCCGGAGGGAGATTTCTTTGGGCGTAGTTGATTAATAAAGGTTCTCAGCCTACGCATTAACTTAACGAGGACTGTGGGTGTTACTGTGGAAAACACCGGTGCACACGGAACGCTTCGCCCCTACCTTGTTTTCATGTTAGTGAAGCTGACACACCCTTGCATACATGCTTCACGCCTCCTCCGTTTTTTTTCACCCTCTGAAGCCTCATTGGCTTTACCTCAGGCATTGAGAACGACATGCGGCGAAGACACTTGCGTTTTTTTTCTTACAAAACATTCAGTTTGCATTAAGCAGCCGGAACGACGACACGGTGGAAGGGAGGATGGACAAGAAGTCCCTGATCTCCTCTGCTGCGAGGGCAGCCATTCAAGCCATGCAGTCTGCAGAATTAGGCGCATTCTCGACGTGTTTAAATTCCGCTTTAAGGACTCCGGCTTTGGTGTGAACGAGCCCTAAGGTTCTTTTGTCACCGCGTTCATTTAACGAACCCAATATAGTGAAAAACCTCTATACTGGTATGACCTAAGAGCCCTAAGACACTCGCTGGTAACCGTACGTGGCGTTAACGTTACAAGCAGGTTTAGCATTGCACATTGTGATTTCTCAATCCCTGATATCTAGTAGGCTGTTACCAACTCCGCTTCTCTAAATACCTTCCCTGCGTTTTTTTCACCAGTAAGTGCCTCTAGCTTACTGCAAGATTGCTGGCCTATGTGGAAGATGATTATTCAAATGGTATATTTCACATTTTAAAATATCACACTCTGGCTTACGGACGCGTTTCCGCTAATATTGACACGTCAAGCCTCAACCACCACCGTTACGTTTCTATATAACTATGCTGTCATTATTTTTAGGAGTGTCATTGTTCGTATTGAAAGAGAAGCTGTATGGAAATAGTTTTCAATGTGCGTAACTGTGATTGACTGAAAAAAGCGTGGCTGAATTACTTTCTAGCAATTGGTACAGCACTAAAGTGAAACGTGTCTTTGCAGAGTTAGTTGAGAGTTTGTTGTGTATTGTTTCACCACAAGAGCCAAGGAATTTAAAAATGTGTGTAATAGCGACAAATTGAAAAGTCACGCGAAGAATGCCAAGCAGCTCAAAACTTGCAGCGTGCAGCTCAAGCAGAAAGCACGCACGAAATGAGCATAAAAAGGACGAGCGCGCAATAACTTCATTCACAGCTCGATACTTAAAGCGCGCTGTTCAAACAGAAAGACGCGCGAAATAACACACAAGTATACACAGGACGAGCGCGAGCTGTCACAACTCCTACTTCTTCGTGTGTGAGCAGTGGCAGCGAGCGAAATGAACTTCATACTCTCCCGATTCACGAGCCAGATAAGCGCGCACGCAGAACAGACCATGCTTCATTGAACGTCGCGCTCATCAAAACGCGAAAGCCGACGACGTTTAGAGCACGCCCAACCATAAACTCTAGTGAGCCCTTCACGACATCTAGAGACTGATGAAAAAAAACGCGCTTAAGTTGCGGAGCTCTGAAGGCCACGAAACTGTATATGGTGCATATAAATGGCTTGCCTTTAGCAATCTTGACAACGTACGTTTCGTGCTCTAGTGCTTTTCGCTACGCGCGGAACAGCGAGCGGTCACTGGTTCGCTGGCCCATAACCTAAACTTTTTCTTCTCTCTTCTGTTGTCAGTTCTTTGCAATCTGTCAGCATAGATTTTACGACATCTTATACATGACGGAAATGCATCAGCGGAGACGTCGTGGACACCAGCATGAAACTCTTTCTTGTTAAAAGTATGTGCTTGTGTGCTTCTTTTGCACCCCCCGATTTGTTTTACACTTAAAGAGGCAGAAAGGATAACCACACAGCAAAAGCTTCCCCAAGGTACATGACTATTATTCACGGTATGATGTGTAACCATAAATTAAAGGGAACTACGCTCTTCATTTGAACGGGATGGCATCAGTTCAGAGTCTCGCCCCTTTTTCGCCACAATCCAGAAGGCGCAGTCCAGGATCATCACGTTTGGCGTTACACATTGGCAGAATAAAATTTCTCCTCCGTGCCACCTTTCTCAACGCGAATTCTTTCTATTACCACGATACATTTCTGCGAAGCCTTCATATAAACGTTGTCTGTTAACATTTTTAGACCAACGTTACAAGAAAGTAAATGGCTCAAACACGATCTCTTTATGCAAGCGCTAGTGTTTCTCAATAAGTAATACAAACGTCTGCAGAGCGCTGGGCTCTGTCTTCGAAGCTCAGCACCACAAAGATAATTTGTTTTGTTTGTTTCTTACATATAATTACTCAAAGTATGTGGTCTGAATCGACAGACGCGCTGACACAGCGGTGTCTCGTACAGTCGGCGTGGAAATGCTTCCACACTTAAAGCTACACTAACACGAAAGCTTGGTCACGTTTTAATGTGTAAAACTTAAAAGGTGAGCGTGTTTGGTGGGAAACAGGAGTGCCGGAAGTGGCGAAATTCAAGTATTTTTTTCTGATTCGTAAAGTGTACGCGCTGAGTACGGTGAGCGCCAAAACTCTTGAATTAGGAGGACAGTGGTAGTGTGCTATGTAGGAAAATATTGCGCATGACGTTTGAAAACTGCTTCACCATCTGGAACATGATATGGGGTACATCGAAACATAGAGCTGTTTCTCAATCAATGTGCCATTAGCTTCTTTCACAACTCTCGTTTCGTTAATGAAGCGCATAGAATATCAGCCCCAGGCTACAATTTCTGCGGAGCTGCTACACGTTTGCGCATCAATAGTGAGCTTCCATGTTGTGACAGATGCCTATTCGTACCCTTCGAGCACGCTGACACATGGTGTCAGACACCTCGATATGTGAGTTGAATAGAATGGTATACTTACATTTCCGTGGCTGATTATGAAGAAAGTATCCCCCGAAGTCCCCTGTCGAATGATGTAAACGCCAGGAGGGTAGAAATCCTGCATAACGCATGTGCATAAAACGTATGTGAAATCTTGCATGTGTATGCGAGATCTGCTTGTGGCATTTTCAGTCACGTGATGACTTGTATTTGGAATCTCTTCAACGCCGCTGCGCATGAGTGGAAGTTTACCTGTTTTTCAGCCGGCGACGGCAATAAACAGCTGGTAGTATGGCACTGAATGGTCTCTTTTCCTTGCTTTTTTTCCTGTTTCTAGCTTTGCGGCATTTCCGAAATGTTCAGCAAACCGATTCCTCAGCTTTGCGTATAGCCAACACCGTGCACACAACTTCTGGGCTCAATTCGGTTCATTGTGCCTCTAGTGGTGCAACACGTGACTACTTAGCTAGGCGCGCACTACCATTTGTGTTTCGCGTCATGACCGCGTTCCATGAGCAATAATAAATGTGTATGAGAACATTATTTGTCGGAGCTGGTGTGCTAAGCAGGATGGCCCGAGCTTTTAGGGAACGCCACTTTGATCTATGCTCGCACTAGGGTGGTCACATCAAAAAGATAGTGTGAATCGCGTCATAGCAGCGGTGATAAAAATGGCTATAAGAACGCGCGTTGCATTGCAAACACATGTGAGACATTTTCGGTGGTTATAAAAGAAACACCGCGTACAAACACGTTAGCCCCACCACCAGGTTAACATTTCTGTAGCACAGCGACGTCCCTGTGATGGTTGGGCTATCGTTTTGCCAACTCAACATCGCACCTCCCACAGGTGTGTTCGTGGGTGTTTGTCCTCTTTCGGACAGGTCCTTTCGTTCCACCTCCAGCGTAGGAGTCTCCCCTCTCGAAGGCTGCAAGGGTGCACATGCGGCAGTCTAGTGCAGCTCGTTTCGCTTTAGTCAAATATGGCAGACAAATATTAAGACAGGTTGTCATTAGGAAAGTTCTCTGCATGGCGGCAACATGGGTGAAAGTGGATACGTCGTGAGCGCGGTGAAATCGAATACCAGACATCAAAGTTACGTGATAACATCACTTTTACTTCTTTGTGCGTGTGTGCATAGCCTGCGACATAATGCTTATAGATGAATCATGCCGTTCACTTGTGTTTCCGCGTAGAGTTTTTGCGCGCAGAGATGTAGAGATTTTGTTTCGTGTTTATGCTTCAACACATTGTGACCTTACCGGTTGTCCACCGAAAAAAAATGCTTCCGACCAGTACAATCTCGGTAGCTTACCCAAACAAATCATAACGCATCGCAATATAGGAGTAAAGTTTACTCTTACCATTAGCGAAGTGACTCACATTTTATTTCTTGTCATGCCATGGCCTACTGGAAACGCGTCCATGGCCTTACAGGATTGCTACCACTGACAACTCGTATTTCAGGGTATTAGATGAAATGGCATATCGTAGAACACCAATTTTGTGAGATATTCACAAAAATGCATTGACACCATGATCCAAAGACGTAATTTCATGCTTATGTATTCATGAGTTGACTTACTATGGTTCACTCAGTACCAGTCAAACGGTGAGATTGCGTGAGCATGGTTGAGTAATATGTTGTTGAGGTCTAATTCAAGTAAGTCCGGCTGCAAAAATTTCTATGTGTCTCAGTCCGAGATATTCCAATTACCGGAAATTTCGATCATACTAAACCGGAGTTAGTCCTCAGAGCAGATAATATATTATGAGTAAACCAGTGTGAGCTCAAGTGTTGTTTTTTCGCCGACCTATGGAAGGAGCGCTACGACTTGCTCTGTCGAGAATGGCCAACGCTTGTACCTCCTACTTGGCATTGCATTTGTTTCAGAGCAATGGGACGAAATAAAGTTTAGCTCTTATTGAGACACATGCAAGACATATCTACTTGCTAACAAAGTAGAGTACAAACTAGTGACAAGTCTATGACTAGCATCATTAACTACAAAATCTGAAGGTATGAAACCTGAGGTTCTCATTAGAAAGATTCCTATAGAGAAGCCATGCGGTCAAATACGTACTCTGTTATTAAAATGACAATGCAGACATCTTTTTTGCACTTTCTTCACTGGTTATTATTCACTTCTATTTAGCTTGATTATGGAAATGGATAGTGTTGTTATTGGCCGATGGTGTAATTGCTTCATTTAAGCGTCATCTTACACGATCGCTTCAGAAACGTACACTTTATATGGCCGAACATATTCTCACTGAGTTAGATTCTTTGCTTTCAGCAGCCTGTACCGATATTTAACGGACTGGTGTGGTGTGAGAGTGTCATCGTACATGCATACCTGATAGATTATTGTATGCACAGAGAAATGTATATCAAGGGCCTTTTCTTATCTGTGCTTCTGACAGCTGATTGTAATGAACAAGGGGCGAGAGTAGTTTAATTGTGGGTAACCCGCAACAGTTTCTTATTAACGATTAGCGTCATTCTATCGCATTATTTAGAAGCTTGATACTGTGATGTTAGAAGTGTCGTAAGCATACAACGGTCATTCAAGACGTTACTTCTCTCAAAAGAAAAGAAGCGAACCTTGATAAATGTCTTATCCAATGGCAGACTCGAACATATCACACATGGGGCTTGTGTTCGTTTCTTCCAATGCTCGAGCTAGAAATGGCTTTGTTATCATTCTGCAGGTTTTATTACCTGCTGATGAAACATGCTGAATTCGCAAGAGATACTCGGAATGCAACGTACCACTTCCAGTACGTCCGACATCTTGGCCAGGATTTCGTTGGAAAGTGTCTGCAGTAGAGGGACGCTATATAGTAAAAAAAAGAAAGAAAATTGATTAGTGAGCTATTTGCAAGGACTAGAAGAAATTCGGGCTTCGTAATAGTTATGTCGTGGCAACGATCATTTAACAACAACAACAACAACAACAACAACAAGAGAAAGAGGTGTATTTAAAAAAAAATACGGACCTTGTAACGCCATTGTATTATACTCTATTTATTATGCGAAGGGATTTTCAGTAACGTTGTTTTTGTTGCATGCAAAACGTACTGCGTTTTGCTAGGTGATGCTATGAATTATGCGTGGCATTAGGATCTTTCAGCATAACAGAGACGTGTATACTGGAGCGATGCCTTCTAGAAAAACTATGCCTGGACCGTGGCTCTCTCTTCAATTGAGAGTTTGCTGCCAGCACAAAATCTTGGAGGTCATACCTCCTACTGCGTGTTGCAACCGTCCGCCGCGTCGGACCACTTGCCTCCGTACTACTGTCACGTGACATAACCGTACCGCTCTGTCACGTGACATCACAGCTGCTCGGAGGCAACTGTGAGAGCATTTCTATGTTCACAAGGGGTAACCGCCACAGGCGTTGGCCTCCGTACCGAAGGGGGAGAGTAAAATCCAAGTGTAGAGCGGCACGTTTGCGGCTGATGCTCCAGGCATAATTTTTCTAGGAGGCGTTGACTGGAGCTACACCAAAAACAGGCTTTATAGATTGATACCTCGCAGAGGTGTCTACAGCACTCAAGTAATTGTAGCATTAAAAAATTGCGTGCGATAGGTATATAAGAAGTGCCTGCAGCTCGGTATATTTTAGATGTTGGGTTATTATGCACGGAAAAATGCAGCAAGCGCCATTACTCCATTCTTGCAAGTACAACAATGCTGCAAGTGGTTCCAAACAAGACGTTTCTTTTCGACGCAGGTTTATCGGCCTATGGTTGAAAGCGTACCAAAAGTACCGCCCCCCCCCCCCAGTGAACTGCCCATTATTGAACATCTCAGAGGACTCTCATATGTGTTAAAACACATCAGTAATGTAGGAATTTTGCCAAAAACTGCTATGTGAACCTCTGAGCAATAGAGAGACGCTGCTGGGACGCCAATGACTGCAGACATGTGCACAACGAGCTCCATATGTTCTCGTATTTTCTGTTAGGTCCATCGCCTCGAACAAACGAGGATTTGCAACAAGCGTGTAGGAGATGTGCTCCAGCATCAGTGGACATCAGTTTTACTGAAACCGAGTTTTTTTTTTTTAAATTAAATGTATATAAGGAGAGGTTGGTGCCAATGCGTGGCGCCCGCTACTCCTCTAGCACAGAAGTCGACATCGCACATTTGTAGCAAACACAAGGCTATACATATATACATAGCACAACACTTACACAATCAGTTCACGTTTTTCAACACTGAGTGTCCACACCACCCATAAATGTGTCCACACTACATAGAATTGTGTCCGCACCACATTGAGTTTGTAAAAACGAAAGTAATCATGCCAAGTTAAGTGTTCAAACAAAACATGAAAGTTCAATAAAATGTTCAAGGCCATCTTATCGCTTAAATACTGAACTGTTTTCAGAAAGGTTTTCCCAAAAATATCGTATTGAAACACGAAAATACTGTTTTGAAACATATCGCGGGGCCCTTCTTCCTGTTTTCACAGACAATTCTTCCACTCAAGGTGGGCCTCCGCTACCTCTATCGCGTCTTGCAGAGGACCGACGGCGATGTTGGGAGGCGCTCGCCCGAAGACGACAACCACAGCCTTGCCGCGGTTGCTGACGGCTATGAACTCGACTTAAAGGTCACAGACAGTAGCCGCAGGACCATCGGAAACAGATTTTAGTGAAGAAGTTATGAACGTTGCCGCGCAAAACCGATATGAAGCAGCACTGCCTAGGAACTGCAACGTGGCGTGCGTCGACGTCATTTTCCCACCGCAGCTGACACCAACCACACAGAGGAGGGATGGCAAATATTCCAATCGCTCAGTCGCTCAAAGCAAAGAAGAAACAGGCGAGGGAGAGGAAATTTCAACAAGGGGGGACTTCTCCGCAGATAGCAGGCTTCCCACGAACAACAAGCCAAAGCACCTGGGGTGACCTACAAGTTGGAGCCCTGCCACAGTACCCAAGGACAATCTGAAAATATTCTTTCGACCTCATCAGGGACTACGTCTGAAGAATGTGACCTCCCAAGCGATCTCTGACGCTGTAGTGAAGGCTTGTCAAGGAGCGATCAGGTGGGATAAATTTATTCTCCGCATCCGACCGGGCTCAAACATAGCACTAGCGTCGACTTAAGACAAGACCATCGCAATGGCTATAAAAGGTGACACGTCTTTGAATATCAGCGGAAGACCACACCTGGTCAACATCTATGTTACGGCAGGTGAAGGAACCAAAAAAGGTGTTATTCATGGCATAGAGCCGCACACCCCGTCTTAGACCATCAAAGCGAGCGTCCGTTTTCACACCGAAGGCGCAACGCTGGTCGACGCTCGAGTGTTGACCGATTCTCCTAGAGCCATTTTCACCTACTTCAAGGAGGTTCTTCTGAGATATGTTTACTACAAAAGAGGTGAGAAGCAGTGTATTCAATTTCCTAACACCATCTTATTCTGCCGAGCGTGTGAGGAAGTTGGCCCCCACACCGACGTGCGCTCGCAGTCTGACTCACCCGTGTGCCGTACCTGCGGAATGGGTAACCCAGAAGTGAACCGCTACTGCACTCTGACATACGCAATTTGTTCGGAGAACCATGTCACTAGAGACCGCAGTTGTCTGAAACGCCTCAGGGCTGTTCGTAACCAAGCAGCAAAACCAACCAAGAAACCGCACAAGCTAATCTCTCACTGGTTCAAGTCAAAGGAAGAGGAATTGAATAGAAATACGGACGAGGAGCGACCCGAAAGAGCAATTCCAGAACACGCACGCTGTCAAAAACCATGCCGTGGAGATATGACAACAAGAACAGCAGCATCCAAGGTTGACATTGTTGCCGAAAGCAATGTCCCAGGACAATACGAACGCGCAAGCCCTGATGAAAAGCAAGCCACCAGCGGCCTGCCCTGCACACAGCAACGCACCGGTGGATGCGGTAAGCTTTGCGCAAGCCTTACCTTTCACTGCCAAACATAAACCCGTTACACGACCTATAACAGAACATAGAGAATACAAAAAAGTGGTAGCTGAAAACATACAACTCAAAACAGAACTACAGGAGGTCAAGTGTAGAAACACAAGAACCGCACCGAACACACCTGTTGTCTCGCTGCCTGCTGCGCAGCCCGTGGCAACGCAACAACCACAAACACCGTTAATAGCACTCTTAGTTCAGCAAATCCAACTTCTTTTTGCCATAGTATGCTAGATGGAAGGCGCCATAAGCGCCAAAAGAGAGGCATAGAATCATCGCAAGAGATCTTGTCAGAGCCCAACTGCCCCCGCCAAACAACCTTTAGGCAGCAGTGCAAGGCAGCGCGAAATTGCTAATAAATCACTGCAAACTTGCAGGAAAGTACCATGCCTGGGGCTGACCCAAATGGAAAGCGCCGCGCGTCCTCCCGGACGGGATGCAATACCAACTGCTTAACAGGAATACCACAAGTCATCTATACGTGCTTGAGGACACTCCGAGAGGTGGCGTGGCTGCTGCCATTGGTGGCTACAAATATCGCATCGTGGACGGCCTCAGATCAGTTCGGCAGCAGCGCAAAGCAGTAAAAGAAAAGGCTTAAATTCACAGCAAACTTGCATGTAAGAACTCTCGAAAGTTCTACATGTAATAGTTTAGATTTAGAATTGCGATGCTGCCGAACTTTCTACGTTGTGTTTATACGTGCAACTTTTGAATTTGAGTGACTTGCACGTGAACTGATCTCAAACCTTGCATCAGTATTAATGAGTAAGGATCGAAGGGACAAGGATAAAGAAAGTGATTTTGCTGCAACTCTGGATGATTTCAAACGAGAACAACGTATCGACTTGAGAGGATTGAAACAATCGATTTATTACTGCAGTGACACCTGCGATGACGTAAAAGCAATGACTGAAGAAATAAAGGAACTTCGCACTGAGATGACGGACATTACTACAATGAATAAAAAACTAGAAGCAGAAAATTAGCAAATAAAACTTCAGATTCAAGAAATGGAACAATTTCAAAGGGAAGCAACCTCGAGATAAAAGGTGTGTCTGATGAGCTTGACCCGTTGACTGCTGTGCATAAGGTCTGCCAGTTTTTCAGTGTGGAAGTTTGTGAAGAGGAAATTGATGTATGTCGCCAAGTATGCCTTATCAGAACAGAGGAAAAAAGAACATCGTTGTACGCTTTGTAAGACGCTCTGTGAGGGACAAAGTACTTAGGAAAGCTAGAAAAGACAAATGTTTAGAAAGAATATTGGTCAAAGAGACACAAAAATGCCAATATATGTCAATGAACATTTAGCTCGACAGGAGAAGCAATTGCTTGCCGCTACACTCACTAAAAAGCGTGAACTCGGTTGGAAATTCGTATGGAGAGCCGGAAAAAATAAACTAGCCCAGAAAGATTAGCACAGTGAGGTCATGCGGATGGTGAGTCAAGATGAAATCGCACAGATGACTTATTAATTATGAGATAAAAAAGGGCATGAATGGTAGCGTGGTACATTCACCGCAAACATATTGGGCTACTCAGAAAGCACGATCATCGGGTTTCACTTTTTTTTTCATTTGAACAGAAGAAGTGTTAGAAACAAACATGATAGCTTGCAAATATACTTGAAATCACTGAAAACTCAATTTGAAGCTGTTGTATTTTCTGGAACTTGGGTCACAAAAAAAAACGATACTGCTCCCTTTCTTGGTGCTTACACGTGCGAACGACTCGACAGATTACAAGAGAGGGGCGGTGATTTGGCTACATACCGAAAAAAAAGTTACAGCTATGACGTCATAAATAATTACACAATTGATTTGATTAATGATTGCACTGTTTCAAACGACGACATAGAATGCCTTATGCTTTGCATGA